TATAAACTGGAGAACGATTCCTATTTCTTTTCCCCGGAGGACAGATGTCTTATAGTAAGAACATGCGTTCCAGTCGGATGCGTGGCAGTGTGAATATTTGATCCTTGTGGAGTGTGACTGGCTGTATAGCACGGTTGGCAGGGTGCATACCAATGGGTTTGCCTCCGCCTTGCACTTGTTGCATCAACCTCAGAACCAAAACTGTTTGATCCTTAAGTCTGATTAGTTTTTAACTGCTGTCAAAAGAAACATTTCTGTCCACTTATCTACTTGCGTCCCCCCTGCACTTATCTACAATATCCATATTGAAAAAAAAAAAAGACCTAAAACATAAAGAGATTCAGTAGCAGACACTTTGTAGTCAGTGAGAGAAACTGGTGTAGTGGGTGAGTGCTTTGAAATAATAACAAGTGCAGATAGCGCTGTAATATTTTTTTTCTCGCTGGCTAGAAAATGGGAGGAATGGAGAAATAAATCAAAACTCAGCATGGATTAAAAATAATGGCCAAACATCTGAAAACAGAGATAAAAAAAAAAATCTCTTCTTTCTCAAGTATGACGATTGGTTGTACTTTGTCCTACTGTGTCTCCGCTCCATATATAAATTACTGTATATGCCCTGTGTCCGCTCATGCATTCATCCATTAGCTATACTGGCTTCATCCTGCAGAGGGTTGTGGGGGGCTGGAGCCTGTCTCAGCTGACATTTGTTGAGGGCGAGGGGGGTGGGAGGCTGCACCCTGGACAGGGCTCCATCACGGGGCCAAAACAAAGAGGCAGACAACCGTGCACACTCACATTTAGCCTCGCTCAACCAACAGCCAATTTAGAATCACCAATTAACTGACCAGGCTAACCGGAGCGCACAGAGAAAAGCCAGCGTGCGCTAAATACTACAGCCCCATGCTGCCTTTATATACGGTGCACTAATTGTGACAGTATCTCATGTTTTGCAAATATTTAACAAGATATCAGTGTTTTTTAACGCCGAGCTACGCACCACGTGGGCCGGCAGTCATCCCACCGACTCCGGAACGCCACAGCTAATTAAGCTGTACACATAGAAATCCAAAAGATTTAATGTTAATTTAATTCCTGCTCAAACTGTCTCACAGCCATTCACAATTTGTTGTAATTTTTTGCAGCTGCGAGCAGCTTCTTCGTTTCCTTTGGGCATTGCATTGTAGGACAGTAGAGCACATAAACAACACACTCAGAAATCAAGCATTTTTTTTTAGAATGCATGCAGACTCTTTATAGGAGAGCTGCAGTTTATTTCAATTTGGATCTGATGTGTGGAGGCTTGACAGTGGTTTGTGTTTGTCATTCTAGCACTGTGCTCACCAAGTTAATTGTCCAGATGAGATGGGGCAAAAACACAATAAGCACTCAGGCATTCAGACTAACCAGATTTGCCAAATGCGTTTGGCAAACACAGCTTTGACCCAACTTTGGTCCAAAGGACTGACTGCATATGTATGAGGCCACAGTTTTCCTGTGCCGGGATGGGTTTCACCAGCATTTAAAGGTTCAGTTCTGCAAATTAAGTTTAGATACTCAAACTGCTTAACGCGTCAAAGTAAACTACTCTTTCAGCGAAAAGTGGTCCCTGTAAATATATTACCATATGCTCATATTATTAGATTTTTATTCTAAGGAAAAATACGTAGCTTCACTTAAAGTCTACTTTAAACTACTTTATATGCAAACATGTACTCTCGTCCGGGGGTTTGCAATCTGGAGGCTGCGCTGACTTACATGATGAATCTTTCAGATCAAGAGATGATTAGTAGGAGAGGAAGGAAGAAAAAAATAAAGTTCACACAAATCGGAATTCATTTATTTTTCCTCTTTGTGAAGGAAACAATTTATGCACAGTTTTACTTCTTTGGTCTAAAAAATTATAATTTACCTGAAAGAGCCGATGTTTTTTTGGATTTATTCTTCGGTGTGTTTTTTTGTACAGCTTACAAAACCCACAGTCATCAGGGAGTTTTTCTCTCCCACAGAAACTCCTGCTCCTCACCTGCCTGAAACACTCCATTTGAGGTCCAGGTAGTCTGACTCGCTGCATGTAGATTGAGGGCACAAACCTGGCATTTGCCCCACATTTCACGCGGCTTTCCCCTTCTCCTTCCACTATCTGTGTGTTCCCGTTTGCAAAAATCCTCCTTCGCTACAGGAAACAACAACAACCTCTGGGCAGCAACCTACACGCAGAAAATTTCAAGTTTTTTTGCCAAAGGTTTGGACCGTGCAGTGAAGCAGCCCTGCTGGTTTCACTGTGAAATATCCATTTTAATGGCAGCCCTCGCCTCCCTGCATGCAAATGTGCCACCAAAACAACTCCTTCATTCCTATTTTTGGGGAAAACCATGGCCACATCCTGTTCGTAGACCTGCCTAAGAGGATTGCATTGGTTTAAAGATACCCAAACATAGCAAAGTGTTGTTTTTCCCTCCCCTCCCATAGCAGAATAACAATGAGGTGCAGTCAGACCATTCTAGAAAATGGTGTGACACTGTGAGGCTAAAGTCCAGGCTTCTATTCTTCAGCTTCTTATGTATGTCAGTGTAACACATTCTTGCGATGCCCGTTTGGACCTAGTATGGTGCAAAATCAAACAACGAGAGAACAGCCGACTCACAGTTTGTCATTATTTGCTCATCAGAACCTCATCTGCAAGAGCTGCATCTCTACATCTGGGGTCAGTCTGCCTAGACAGCGTGACCTCTCTTTTCGTCTGCCAGGTGGACTTTTCAGGAGGAGAGCCTTAAGCCTTGATTATACTCCGATGTGGAGCGCGCACAGGCAACCGGGGCTGCGGAGTTGTTGTTATTCTGCTGCTTTCTAGCCTGAAGGATTCTGTCTGGATGACGCTGTTGAATACATTCACGTACTAGATAGTAGATAGAACGAGATGACATATGTTGCGGATTGTAAATAAATTGAAGTATATAGACTTATTCATGTATGCTCCTTCTCCCTCATGTGTGGCCTTGGGCTGCACGAGCACAAGAGCTGTGGAAGCAATGCAACAAAATAATGCGTTTTCTAAACAACGAAGCATGTAAACCTTTTCTAGTAGACACCAAAAAAAACAAACAACAGAATTATAAACTTGTACATGAGCACAAAATGGGTTCTTAAAAACATTCGAGAAGGTTAGATGGGAAATATCGAATAATTCATAGCATCTGAAATGTTGCAAGGAGCCCCGGCAACAGAAGAAAATCTTGTTGTTTTTTTTTAATGTTGTTTGGGGCCACCAGCCTCAAAGGTTGGAAACCACTGATTTAATCTCCGGCAGAGCAGCGCGCTATATGTGTAAAATCTTCAGCTGTGAAATAAATGCATTGGAGTAAAAAGCAAAATACATCCCTTCAGAATTTACAAGGGCAGAAGTATAAAGTAGAATACAGTATGGCAATACTTCAGGGGTGTATAAAAGTAAATTTACTGAGTTACTAACAGAGACGACGGGCAACGCCACGCTGCAAAAAGTGTATTTATGCTGTAGTTCGTTTTAAATTAATCTTGCTTATCTGTCTGCGTTGGTGATGGCACTTTACTTACTTGAAGTGTCGTTTTAATGTCAGAGACAGGATTGAAAATTAGGTTTACCGGCACAGCGCTTTTGACGTCCATGTTTCTTTATTTATTTTTTATTTTTTGCTGCAACTTAACAACCGCTGTCTTCCAGGAGGACTACAGTGGAAAGGAAAGGAAAAAAAACAGCAAGCGTAATGACAAAATCATGTTTTACTTTTTACTTTCGGATAAAGCGAATACTTGAGAAATTAGAAACTTTAAGTGGACTTTCCTTAATTGGAAGTTTCAGCAATGCTTATTTGAGAGGAATCAAAAGATCATTAGTAGCGTCTTACCAGTTGAAGCAATTAATTTAAGTTGATCCAACAATTCTCTTTTTTCAGTGTATGAAATCAAAACACCATCTTACTGGTAATAAGCTAGTTATCCCTTAATTCATTCCAGAGCGACAACACAACTGAGACACACACACACACACACACACACACACACACACACACACCTCTTTGCTCTTGAGCTCTCTGTGGCTCAATCTTTACACACTTTCCATCTGCCATCTGTCAATAACCTCTTTGATTCTTAACTACCTTTAATGGATCAGCTGATCTCGTCCCCCCCCCCCTTTCCCTCCACACACACACACACACTCTCAAACACACACACACACACACACACACACACACAGTCTTACACGCACAGTTACATACAAACACCCCATTTATTTTTCCCACAGTGATCCTGTCAGGGCTTTGATTAGAAGTAAAGTACCAGCTGCTCCCACCAATCCCCTTCTCGCTCCTGTCTGGTCTGACTGGAACCCCGTTGGGAATAGTCATTCCTCCTGCACTCCCGCATAAATGCATACATCCATAAACATGTGAAATGTGTTTACGGTTCTTATTTTTACCCACAATCTCCAGGAAAAAAAAATAAAAAATTAAATTTCTGCCGAAATTGATGCTCGCTGAGCTGTAGAGGGAAGATTCAAACGAGAGGGAGGCCTGCTGAAGAGACAGACAGTCCGATTGAGAGAGGGAGAAAAAGGGAATTGGAGACGGAGATGAAGAGAAATGAAGTGAGACAGAAAGAATCGAGGGAGGGGGAGGGAAGGAGGAAGGTGAGGGTGAGAGTGTGTGTGTGTGTGTGAGGAGCGAATAAAGTATTTGTCACACTGCCGTCGGAAAGAGATTGAAAAAGAAGGAGTGGGAGTGAAGAGTGGAGGTTGTCTTGATATAAAGCTTTCTTATGCTCTTAAAGTACTGCTGTCCACTTAGCTGTGTCTCTGCCTTGGTTTGTCTTTGTCTTTTTATCCCACCGTTTTGCTCATGTTTCTTCTCTTCTTTCTCCCCCCCTCCTCCCTCTCTCGTGTCTTTTCTTCTACTATCACATTACCCTCCTCTTTATTTCCCTTTTCTCCTTCCTCTCCTCCTTGTTCGTCCTCCCTGCAGGCACGTCTATAATCCAGGTGACAGCAACAGATGCTGATGACCCGACATATGGGAACAGCGCCAAGCTAGTGTACACACTGGTGCAGGGCCAGCAGTACTTCTCTGTCGATCCCCAGACAGGTGAGTGTGTTTATATATCGACGCGAGTGTGTGTGTGTGTGTGTGTGTGTGTTTCCATCACGGCACACGCGGGCGGGGAAATGTAAAAGATGCACAGATGTCGGAAAGCAAATTCTGCACCCGCGCGCTGCGGAAAAGCAAATATGCTCAAGATGTTGGAGAGCAAACAAGCGAATTCAGTCTTGACTCGTGAACGCCGAACATGTGTGTGTGTGTGTGAGTGTGTGTGTGGATAGACAAGGGCCAAAGGGACGCACACACATGTTCACGCAGGTGTGTGTGTGTGTGTGTGTGCAGGTGGAGTTAAACATTGAACACACACAACACTCTCGTGCATCCAGCGTTCTCCCGTCACACTCAGTCATCCATCTTTCCCACTTCCCTTTCTCCCTCCTGTGCCCCCTCTGCTCAAACACTCAAACACACAATCTCTCAAGCATATATACACCCCCCCCACCCTCCCACTCCCCAGTTCACTCCAGTATGAGATGGCAGAAAATATATTCATGCTGCCAGGGGTCTGCGCGCGCTCCCCAACAAAACACAGCCGCGATGTTATTATCTCCGGATGAAGCGAAGGCAAAGCGACGTGCTTAAAGACAGACGTCAGCAAAGGTTTGTGAACTTTAATGCGAGGACAGATTACAAAGAACCTGTCTGCCTTGTGTGTGTGTGTGTGTGTGTGTCGTCTCACTATGTCTCTGTGTCACACATGTCACCTCGGGGCACAAAGTTTTTTTTTTTTATTTTCAAGTTTTTTTCAGCACCGTACCTCAGAGGGAAACCACAGCTCGGTTGACTCGGAGTTTCTGAGCGTCTGATGCTGGTTCTGATAGAAGACGAGGCCTTCTGAAGTTGTTGTTGTTGTTGTTTTTTCATCTGCGTGCTGAAGTAGGAACCCGCACGTGCCTGTTCGTTCTCCCCACGTGGGTCGCAGGTGGCGAAACACTTTTTCGCTCGATGAATGTCAGCGTTTCGTAATTGATTGCCTTGACATGTGAGGACCTCTGGAAAGAAAAAAAAAAAAACCCCAAAGAGAGCTGCAGCGCTTTTTGAAATGCTAATTGGGGGGAATATAAGCCTAATTCCACTCTGTGTATTAGCCGTGACACCGCGCTATTAGACAAGCTTCGGTATTCGGAACATGTCCGCTCCCCTTCTCCCTTCTTCTCTCCGTCGCTATCTTCCTTTTTCAATCACCCCCCAGTTTCTCGTTGGCTCCATCACTAAAGGTCTTATTCGAAATGCGCACTTGGAGGCGCGCGCGTTTGCTCATATATTCAGTTTGTTTGCTTATGAATTCTGCTCAGAAAACCTCCACATATTTCTGCCTGGTCGTTTGCATTCAAAACAGCCAGTGTTGAATGTGATTCACCTTGAGCTGCCAAGTGATCCAGGCCGGTGTTTTGGCTGATGTTGGGCGAGTGCAGCCAGCGCTTGATGTGCAACATCCAATCACATGTAGCAGAATGAGGCCATTTACGCCGGGGAGGTGATCGATGTTGAACGCGTGTAAGCGATGCGTCTTGGTGTGCCGTTAAAGAGTGTGAGACACAGATCGAGATTTTACGCTCCGTCAGCATGCCTAGCTGTCGCCGAGCGGTGATTTATCATTTCCATATGAGCCTCTTCACATATCTGTGTTTATGTATTTGTGTGTGTCTTTCCGTGTGCCTTCAACGGGACATTAAGTTATATATTGGCGCTGTCAAATGGAAACTGAGTGTCTCCTAAATGTCAGAAAAGCTGTCAAATTGTCAGACGTGTCTCCAGCCTGATGACAGTGTGCTTCGATATTGTCCAGTGGTTTTTGAAAGGGCTTTCAAAATGCCAGAGAGGTCTGAAAACAACTTTATCCATCAATTAGAGTCGAGACACTTTAATTACTGAACACAAGTTATGGGGTTTTTACACAGGAGCCAACTTGATAACTTTATAAAAAACTTTTGATCATGATCAAACAATAGGACCAACAAGTGTATGGCCTGTTGTGTTTTCACAAATTAACTAAAATTACAGTTTAGTTTAGTAATGGGCATAAAATATAAAGGAGCTGGAAAATGTGGTTTTCAAATAATCACATCCAAGATAAAGTAAAGCCCCAAATTACTCATATTTATGCCAGATTTTGGTTTGAAGTAGTTCTTTATTTGCCCAATAAGTTTCTTTTGGCTGGAAATTAAATAAATAAGTGACAGAAGACAATAATCCACAGTACGATTAATGTGTTAGAGATGTTAATTAGACATTTAACTACATCTATTTTCATTTATTATTATTTTTACTAAAAATGCCATGTTCAAAATTATTCTCGGTAATCAGTGGCAACACATTTATTTGCCACAATTTATTTGCTAGAACATTTGTTGTAATTGCTCTCCACTGGGATTTTGTTCCACTCCTCTGTTCTGACGATCTCCACGTTTTTGAAATTGGAAGACTCATTTGCCATCACTCTGGTCTTTAGTTCACCACGAAAATTCAAAGGGATTCTTCTGGACCACTCCGACATGTTGATACTGCGTTTAATGGAAGTTACAGAGAGTTGTCTTGTTGGAAGATCTAACGCCACCCAACGCCTGCTGGATTTTTTCTATTGCAGTCCTCTTTTCTTATGTTTACTTTGACAACATTGACTGTTTCATTGGTTGAAGACACCCCATATCTTGATCCTGTTCTTGGGGTCTTTCACCAAAGGAACCACATCCCTGTGTCCAAACACATCCATTCTCAAAAGCTTTCTCCTTGGTGCAGGTGAGTTTTTGTGTGTATGGAGCTGTGGAGTCCTTTTTTTTTTCTGCATCCTTGGAGACCAGCCTTGTTTGCTGGAGTGTCTGCCTTGAGATGTTGGAACCGAAACTGCTAAGATTCATCAGGATGAGCTTGGTGATCATCCATGAATTCCTCTTGGCATGCGTGACAACTGCAAAAGTTCAGAATAATTTTGGACGAAGTATTTTTAGTCAAATCGTGATGGAAAAACAGAAACATTCAAAATTCCTCATTAATATTCCTAGCACAATGCCTCAGAGTCTTTTCTCACTTGTTTATGTCATTTTGACCCAGAAAACATCCCTACAAATCAGAACTTTATTTGTCGTGTAATTTAACACTGCTGGTCAGCGGTGGCATTTTCAGTGCTTATGGATGGACAAATACTTGGACTAATTAGATATTTTTGGCAGCTAAATACACTGATTAATATGAAAAAAAAAGCTGATAGTGGTTGCTGTATCACCCACTGATCTACTTGATTGTTGTTATCAATTATTCAATCAGTCAACTATTGACAAACCGTTCTGCTACAAATGATTACCCAATAAAAACGAAGGCTGAACAACTGAGGACACATTATCTAAAATAAACCTCACAAATTTCTTACATTTGCACCGAGCAACACCAGAGGCAGGAGGTTAAAAATTCAGAATCCCTTCATATTAAGTTGTACAAGTTTTAAGTTTCTCTAATGGACTGACCAATTAGTAAAGTTTCGAAGAAAGAGCTGCAGAGCATCAGAACCGAAGCCCATTAAATAACAACTTATTAACATTTTATAGCTGCGGGCAGAATGGCTCGCCGAAAAATCAAGAAACCCACGACCTTTTATTAATGACTTACTAACATGTGTAACTGCAGTCTTGATGAAGTCCTTAATAAAGGGTCAAGACTTCCTCAGTTCATAATGGGCAGGCAGATGTGCCACTATAAATGTTAATAAGTCATTAATAAAAGGTCAGGGTGTCTATTGTGATTCTCAATCTACCACTTCATAAGATATTTAGTTCAAGTCAGCTGTATCTGCTGTTTTACTGTAGAACAGCAGTTCATCCAGTTGGCCCTCTCTCAGCCATTAGCACAGGCCTATTACATTGCAATAATTCATCAAGCCACGCGTCAATATTACACCGAACGGCACGTCGCTGATCCACAAAATCTAAATAAATGATTGTTAACCGTTAATATGGTCATTAGCCGCAGCTTGTAAACCCATAACGTGATACCTGCAGATGTCTGGCAAAGTGATTAACACGTAATACAAAAGGTGAGACAGCGCTCTCGTATGTTTAACAAGATGTTCTGTCGTTAAAAATGTGAACAGAGCTGGACCAGTTCCCACTGACTGAGCAGGCAGCTTTTGTTTTTAAAAAACCGAGCGCAGGCCAGCAAGTGCATTTTGGAAGCCAGAAGGTTCAGAGCCGGCTAATCATAGAGTCATAAATATTGATCAGAAAAGCCTTTTAGTTTCACACAGATGTATTATGGTCATTTGGTGCTGTTTCTCCACAGTAACAAAAACAGCAAAACTTCTTTTAAATGGCCACCCTGATGTTGCTGTGTGCGTTTTCTCTGCAGGTATCCTCCGTACAGCTGTACCCGACATGGACAGGGAAACCCAGGACCAGTACCTGGTGGTGCTGCAGGCTAAAGACATGGGGGGCCACCTGGGGGGATTATCCGGGACCACCACCGTCACTGTCAGGCTCACGGATGTCAACGACAACCCTCCTCGCTTCACTCAGAGTGAGTAACTCGGCAGCTCACGCAGCCACCCACAGGGAAAGAATGACTACCGGGAGTGGAGCTGCAGCACCAGATAATAACAGAAAATGACTGTATGTTATGCGTGCTGCGCTCTCTGTATGCACACATGTGTACATTAATTACACGCGCTCCATTATACCAACAAGCACACATCGATCAGTGTTCATTCATTACGGGTTCCGAGCGCCAGATTGCCGGGGCATCACCTCATTAGAACAATGCGGCATCAAGCGAGCTGCCAGTCACGGCGAAAGTGGCAGAAATCGCTCGTGTTAACTTTCTATTATTCATTATGTAGAAAAGCTGAGGGAAAACAAACACCGCATAACAGCATAAACACTGTATGTGTTTTTGCACCAGAAGGCAGAAGAGTTCTCAGACCTTTCTGACCCGCAGGTCCTGTCAGGATTTTCACAGCAGCAGTCAGGCAGAGGAGACTCCTGCAGGGCTGCAAAGTACCTCATCAAACATTCAGTCATGGATTTAACTCGCCTCTGCAGCGATAGATCAGCTGCTATTTCCAACTGCAGCTGTACTGTCACATTATATCACACAGTCTGACAGGGCTTCGATGTAAGCGCGCCCGATTGACATTTAAGCTAATTCCACTCTTTGTAATCATGGAGTTATTCCAGTGCAAAAGATAAATGGAGAAGGTCCACCTCGCATGTAGCTTTGACTTATATTGACGATAAATTGAGTTAAATTGCTGTTGTGGTCTAGTCTACCATTGCGTTATTATAAACAAAATACAGACCCTATCCGTCGGTTTCATAATGGCTGCTGGTCACCGCAAAGATTCAATAATCGAGATGGATTACGAGACGGTATTGTCCTAGTTGGACTCTAAACTGTTAATCATTCTTTTACTTAGCAGGCGGGTGAACTCCCCATGCAGCACTGCTCGCTTCACTCTGTTTGTCTGCCTCCTTTGTTCGATGGAGATGTGTGTTAGAGGCCGATATTAATGAATTCTCTCTTTGCTACACTGCCAGAAAAAAAATCAGTAGGTGTGTCCTTTATTACCTTCAAAAGCACGAGCCAGTTAGTCCTCCTGTGAATGATCAAGGGAACCAAGTGGCCCTGATGGCCAGTGTTCTTGTCATCCTTTACTTAATGTCATCCGTTCTCCCATTTCTCATCTAAGCAAGCCCGCTACCCTCCAGTTTAATTGCTGACCTTCTCCCAATTAAAGTGGAGATAGGGGGAAGTTGGGATATAGCTTTTGAACAATTGTACTTGATTTAGATTTTTTTTTTAGAAGAGACCGATAAGACAGATAACTTACTTTTTTTTATCAAGGGGGTTATTGAAAGCACGGTGGAAATAGTCAGATCGCTTCTTTCAAGGAAAAGCAATAATTGTTGCGTATTAGACGGGACTGAAGAAATACCAAACTGTGGTTTTTAGAGCAATAATATTAGTGCAATAAAGCAGCAATATCTGTAAACTGCATTCTGTGTAAATGGCTCTTGTTAAAGGTTCTGCATTCACTCCAAACTTATGGACGTCATTAGAGCGTCTCAAACGAAAACAGTTACTCTAATTTTAATTAAAGAGTCGTGACTCTTGTAGATCTTTATGTAGCAGATAGCTATTTGCTGCTATATTAGTGCTATTTGTAACTTTACAATAATGAAAAACAAAGTCAGAAAAGTCTAATAAACTTATTTAAGTTTTAGTGGAAAAAGTAATAAGTAGGGATTCATGATATATCAGCGACCACATCGGTATCGGCCGATATTAGTGTTTTTTTCCAATATATCGGTATCAGTCCGATGAACAACTTGTCTAACATCAGTGCTTTCGTCTCTATGTTTGATATCGCTGCTATTTCACAGAGGTTTTTACTTAAATGGGCTTGAATGTTAAGCATGTTTAAATATGTTTTACCTTTGTTGCGTAATAAAGAAGACTATGCAGTCTAATTTGGGCTTCTTTGAATAGTCATGTTCACACAGTGCTTACTTATACTCATTTTTCAGTGTGAACAAAAACTGAATATCGACATCGGTAATATCAGTTATCGGCGGTATCAGAAATCTTAATATCGGATATCGGTATTGGCCAGAACTTCTAATATCGCGCATCACTAGTAAGACGCCCACATGTTAGTTGGATTATTGCTTGATCATATTTAGATCTAATCACGACATTCAAAAGCGACACTTTATGTGCCTGTAACGACCACATACCGACAGCAGGAAGGAACATGAATCTTCACACAAATTGCAGCAATCCCTTAAAGCACCCTCATGACCCCCACGGGCCTCAGCTGCATCCCCATCCGGTGGCTGTGTTAATCAGCGGGGAGTCGAACTGCAATAGGTTTTCGAGTAAAGTAATTCACCTGCCCTCCTTTTACCTCACCGCATAGGATGCACATCACTCCTTCTCTTTAACTGCAAGTTTATGCTGCGCTATAAAACGAGAAGGCGCACAGTTTGGACGCTCAAATAAATCGGCGGACAGAATAATTAGTGCACTATGCAGCAAATTGAGAGTGACACGGCTCTTGTTTTTCTGACCCACTCAGAAGTACAGTTAATCAGGCTTCAGTCTCGTTGGCCAAATTACAACTGTGTCCCTGAAAGTGACATTGCGACACAATTACGCAGCCATTTTTGACATGAAATAGTAGGTAAACACAGGTGTTACTAATGACGTTAATTAAGGTTCAGCACCGAAATAACACAGAACCTTTATTAATGTCATTAGTAACACCTGTGTTTACCTCCTATTTCATGTCAAAATGGCTGTGAAAAAGGTCTGCTGCTTTCCCAATTACATCCGTGTGCAACATAACCTCTGGCCGGATTAAGAGACAGGGTTTTTTTTCATTTTTATTTTTAGTGAATGAAGGGCACATTTATGAACCGCATCAGTCAGCAGGAGGTGGTCGAGGTGGATGGTGGGCAGACAAAGCACACAGTTATCAAACCAGAGACTTTCCAGACTTTTGTCGACGACTGGGTTTAAAGAACAAAAATGCTTCAGTCAAACTTAGAGAAAGGTTTAAAGTCTGATTAAGTGTAAATAACACATTATGTTTCCAGTTATGGTGATTTTTTTCTACATTAGGAAAAACCTCAATCTTTCTCGAAACCTTAATTAAGCGTTGAGTGCTGAAACCTAACAGTAGATTAGTGGATTTTGTATTATACAATCTAATATGTCGGCAGAAAAATATGCATCAGCAGTGATCATAGTACTTAAACACTCAGTATTGCAACTTGCCAAATACATTTCTCAAAGGAAAACTAATTCTCTAACAATTATGTTTGCTTCAGTCACTATTTCTGTCTAGGAAAGTAATTTTTACACAACAAGATTGTCAAAGTAACAGTAGATAACTAACTTTTAGCTTGTTAATACTGTTAATTATGCAAGTTTTAATTAAAACGGTGGCTTGTTAAAACAATCACAGCTGATTTTAATAGTCAATGGGTATTACATAATTCCTTGTTTAAATCTTCACATAACTGGGATTCAGGAAAGCCGTTATATAAATGTAGCACAGCAGATCTGCAGCAGCGCTCCCCGGCTTTACTGTCTGACAGGTGCAGCAGCAGGTAAACATTGACATAGCGTAGCAGAGTGCAGATGGATGCAAGAAAGGAGCTGTCAGGAGCTGGACGGGCAGACGATGAAGGGTTTCTTGTCCAATAGAGCAGCGGCTTTCAATGCCAACATTGAACTAATGATGTCCTGGGGTGGGAGGTTTGTTGGTCGAGTTGAACCCCCATCAAAGATGCCATTTTGGAATCAGGCTGCACTGAGGGCTGGAGGGCTTCTTGGAGGAAAACTGGGCTCGCTCTGATCTGCCTGGGTGATGAAGAGCCTCGTGATGCCAGCGACTGCTTTAAAAAACCCCTCACCGTTGACCAAAACCTCCCCGCTGCCTCCTCTGGTTCTTCCCATGGCTCCTCTGCATGTATGTGCTGTTATTGAATGCTCTGATGTTGGCCTTCAGTTTGTGTGTGTGTGTGTGTGAATAGTCTCACGTCTGTGTTTGTGTACTTCTGTGTGTATCCCTGATCCTCTGCTTGGCTTTTTCTTCCTCCTGTGTTCCCTCACGCACTCGCGCTCCCTTGTGCTTGTGCGAACACCATCAAAGCCAGCCACCCTGCCGCTCTACTCAATTACACACCCAGGCTTTTAAAAAGACACCCTCAAATCCGGCCCCCGCGTCTCCCAAGGTCAACACTGCTTATTCCTTGTGGCATTTAGCAGAAGGAGAGGATTACACTGGAGCGTACCAACCAGGTATCGGCTGTACATTATAGCCTTAACAAGGAGGAGGGGGAAAAAAAATGGGCCCCGCTTTGTCGTCTTTTCACAGCGCCCCAGAATTCCTCACTATCCGAAACATGATTTCAGGAACTAAGTGGGTTTGTTGTGTGCACAGTTTTGAATGCTGTCAGGGGATTTCTTGTGCCTGGAGGAGGCAGTATAGCAAAAGGAAAGTAGGCTACCGTACAGATTGTAGTTGTTTTTCGGTTAAATAATAAGTGGAAAATCTGGGATATTTTCAGATGCTTCATTGGCAAACATCTCGCTCTAACCACACTTTCCTTTGGGTCTTAATATCAAATGGCATACTCTGTGCTCCAAATGTATTTGGACAGCAACCTGTTTTTTATGTTTTAGTTTTGCATTCCTTGGCAGAAAAGAAGCTTTAATTTGATTTTCATCCATATCAAATGAACTTTTTTTTTAAAGGTAGCAGCGCTTTTTGAACATTTTAAGGTGGCAGCAAAGCAATCATTTATAGTAAGATGCTGAAAATACCTCAAGATTATTTGAAGTCTTTATCCCAGAAACATCATCGCATTCATGATGTTTTCCTGCTGCGTAAGCGTGAATACTCACAGGACTAGATTGGCCCGTTTCCCACCACGACGTGTCAGAATTTGAGCCCGTAAACTTTTGTTTTTAACCGCTTGGCCAAAAAATGTGCAATTAACAACCCAGGCAGG